CTGCTAAAAGAACTAACAGATCTGTCCTGGAGGAAGTGCAGCCAGAACGCTCCTTGGAAGCAAGAATGGCCAGACTTCGTCTCACGTATTTTGGTCATGTTGTCAGAAAGGGACCATTCCCTGGAGAAGGATGTCATGCTTGGTAGGGTGGAGGGTCGACGAAAAAGGGGGAAGCCTTCAACGAGATGGATTGATACGGTGGCTGCGATGATGGGCTCAAGTGTAGCAGGGATTGTGGGGCTGGCGCGGGATCGGACAATGTTTCGTTCTGCTGTGCATGGGGTCACTATGAGTCGGAAACGACTCGACGGCACTTAACAACAAAGATTTACTGCCTCAGAAACCCAAAGGGGGTCACCATGAGTCACAATCAACCTGATGGCAGCGAGTTTGGTTTTTTGGTATGATGCTGACATTTCCCACTATGCATGCTATCATGTTTCCTATAATAAACACTGACAACAATCCTAAAATGAATTAAAAGTCATTTTCAGCAATATATGCAAAGTGCTGTGGGATTCATAGAACAGACTGATGGAGAAGTTATTCCAAAAAGATTGGGCTATCAGAAGTGTTTCCTTCCTGGTAAAAATCAGTCCAGTGATGTGGTCCTGTTATTTATTGGGTTAGTCATTCAAGATTGATGAATTTAGTATTTACAAGATAGTAGCAAATTAGAACCAAACTCAATTTGTTTCTTATCACACCTGCATACTGGAATCACTTGAAACTTCAGCACCAATGTCTGGGTAGGAGAGTAGGGAAATGGGGAAGTTTCATTGCTTAGGGGCCACTGAATTTTAGGGTGGTGGAGTAATTTGGAAAAGGGTAGTGGTAACGGTTGCACATGATGAATTTACATATGTAAAAACTGAATTGTTTTATGCATTTTTTACAAAAATCTGCAGTTTTAAAATGTTTCTGGACATCATCCCTTAGTGCTCAAATAAGAACTTATATTCTTAATGGAAACTTTTGGGGGAAGGACTCAAGCAATTACTATTCACTTTTATTAAAAAACCAATTCATCTTTTAAATCAGAAACAGCAGCTACCTTCAGGATACTCTCACTAAATTTCTGGCTTACTATGCTTGCTACTCATGTCCACTGTATACCTAACTATGGCTTTTAAAAAAGTAAACAGCATAAAGGTACTAGGGCAGTTTAGGAGTTCCTTCAAATAGCATTCACATTTTGAGGGGCTTTTATTGTTTTAGAAGCGCACTGGTGACATTGTGGTTAAAGCATTTGGTTAACCAAAAGGTTGGCAGTCCAAATCCCCAGCTACTCTGCAGGATGACGACAGTCTGCTTCTTCTTGGCCTTGGAAACTCTATGGGGCAAGTTCTGTCCTACAGGGGTCGCTATGAATCAGAATTGACTTGATGGCAGTGGGTTTGGTTTACTTTATTGTTCTAGAAAATTCATACTTTTCATCAGATTCCTAAAAAGGGACCCAAAGCTAATAATCATTAATCTTTTATGTTACAGTAATTGTGGAACGAAACCAGACTAAAATAATGTAAATTGGGCAGCATTAAAACAGACTTTTATAGTAAAATTTTATGATACACTTGAATTTAACTGCAAAGAAGATACTAACACATGGAAAGGCGAGATCATTTTAGTAAGTTGAGAACAAAAACCCGTACGGAAGCTGCCAGTTATATTAAACTCTGTAAGCAATCAAACTTTAACATTAGAAAATCATAAAAAATCAAATGTAGTTTATGATAGCCCTTTCATCTCTATCGGAGTAATTTAAATTCTTTCCACATTTTACCTAAAATACACTATTGAATTAACATTCCAAGTAGTACTATATTCAAAGGAGGAGTAGCACCATAATTTAGTTATACTACAAATTCAATTTAAGATAAATCTACTGGCTTTCATTAAAAAGAATCATTTTTTTCCTGCATGGACATTAAGAAACAATTTCTAGGTGTCTATAGTGTTAATTCATTTGATGCTCGATTCGAACAGCAATACAATCTTCTACTCTTAAAAAAAGCATAGCATTTTTATACAGAGGAATCCCTTCATTTATTTCTTCTGAAATGGAATTAAATAGGATGTCAAGGCCACATGTGGAGAACTTTTGCAGGTATTCTTGTTTGCTGTGCTGTTTAATACTTTCACAGTGTGGCCTATGAGTACTCATCACTTGACCAATATAACTAGTGGGATAAAACAAATGTCAACATGGTATACCAAAAAGATCACTGACTAACAATTTTATTCCTGGCCCTGACTGAACGTAACCACTTTGGGACTTTATTTTCTGTGTAAAATGAATGAATTGGATGAGTTATCTTACAAAATATCCTTCAAGTCCAATTTTTAAATGAGTCTATAGTGTAACCCAAGTGAAAAGTAAATAAATTAATCGAAGTTATCAGCCTAGTATCACACCAACAAGGAAAGCTGCCATTATTAAGAACGCTCCTAAGGACCATCACATTATGTCCAGTTCTGCTCTACATGTTTATTTTTAAAATTCACCATCATCTGGGCACTGAGATATCTATCCCTCTATAGATCATTTCATCACTTCCCATGTGAAAATACTTCTTAAAAATTTTTAACAAAAGGGGGAAAAGCCAACACCCAGGATAAAGGATTTAATCCAGCATTTATTCCACACTCATGATGGGTCTCCGTAATCAGAATACAAGTCATAAGAACAATCTATCAAATAATTTGCTGATAGTCTTAAATAATGCAGCATAGCATTACTCTTTAATATTTCTCTGTTCTAGATTAAGTTTAAAAACTCAAACAGCAGTCTTCATTATCAATAAAAAAAGTTTTGACTTTTAAAAAAAGACATTATCAAGCTGTTTCATAATTTAAGTATTTTCCATTTATAAAAACGCTTTGGAAGCTTGAGGCTTGAATCTGTTTCTCTACTCATCTGTCCCACCCTCTCCAAATTTCACGTTAGTACAGGGTTGCTGCAAGAATGCTAGGATTTAGGCATTAATTTTTTAATATAGTACTTTAAAATTTGATAATCCAAGGAAAAAAAAAGATTACATGTCATGTATCTTTTCAAATAAAAAAGGAAAACTAAGTGAATAAATTTTAGGCATACTAACAGTGTCCCTTTGAGGTAGAATGCTAAAAGGACTTTTGATCAAATCACAGCCTAATTTAAACCTCTGCTTCAGAAACTAACTTCTCATAAATTCTCTCTAAAGGTAACTGCAGCGAATATAAGTGTAACATAGTAACAAGAGCCTTCCAAGATAATATACAGTGGACAAGAATGTTAATCCTACAATGCTGCCTTCATGTACACTGAATGCACACAGATAATTCTCCTATAATACACATCCAAGAATCATTCTCAAAGTCTTTAGCATTCTATTACGAAAAGCACAGACATGCTAACTTCAGTATACAAACCATAATCCCACACCTACCCAAAAAAAAAAAAAAAAAAAAAGAATTAGTGGCAGTTTATTGCCTTATACAAATTTAACCAACATGGCAACCATGCCAAAGGAATTAAAACATTTTCGGGACATATGTACAGACTGTACATTTCAAAAAAACAAAAATCAAACAAAACCAACAAAAATAAACATTGAGAATGCAAGAACAATCTGTGCATCATGTGTCAAACTCAACACTTAGGTGAAAACAACAATGCAATAAATGGGATTACAAAGGCACTTCCCTACACAAAAGAGGAAATGAAAATGCAGCCTACAGGGAGCTTGAAGAGTGTGTAACTACTGCACAATCTCAACTCGGGGGGGAAAAAGCAGATTTAATCAAACATTTATAGGATTCAATGTGATCCACTTTTACAAAAAATTTTCACACAGTCTCATCTTTGTTTTTATGTTGTTTTTCTTGGCTCTCTTGTTCTATACTTTGGCTCCTTCGATGATCATGTTTGTCTGACTGGTCCTTACTATCACTGTGATCTCGTTTGTGGGAACGTTCTTTGCTTTTGCTACGCTTTCTAGATTTTTCTTTGCTGGGGCTATATTCCCGTTTTTTTGACTTTTCAATACTGTCAGTTCTTCCTTGACTGCCACTTCTACTTCGTTTATTTGATTTTTCTTTACTTTCATTTTTATGTTTACTTGATTTCTCTTTGCTCCTGCTTCTACTCCGCTTTCCTGCATTTCTACTTCTACTCCTACTTCTGTGTTTCCTCTCTCTGCTTCTACTTCTACTATGTTTTTTCTCTTTCTTGGAATTTTTGTCATCTCTATGCCGCCTATCATCTTTGTCATCCTTATGTTTCTTCTCTTCTACCTCACCTCTACTTCTTCGTTCCTTGGACCGTTCTCTTGATCGCTCTCTCTCCTTTTCTCGGTCATTACCTCGGTCCTTATCATAGTCACGGTCTCGTCTTCTACCCCTCTCATTTTCTTTCTCTCTTTCTCGATCCCTGTCCCTTCTATCCCCTTTCCTATCACGACTTCGACTGCGACTTCTATGCCTTTCCCTACTCCTACTGCGCCTGCGTTCCACACCCCGATCAATACTTCTGGATCTTCGCCTTTCTTTCTCCCTTTCTTTGGCTTCACGTTCTAGTCGCTGCCGTTCTTTCTCTCTTTCTAATTCTCTGTCGAAACTAGAAGATCCATGGCCCTCTCGATGATGGCTTCTACTTCTCGATCTTCTTGGGGACCTCCGTGGACTTGGCGATCTTCTTGGAGACCTGAGATGAGAATGTCAATGAGTAAAACGTAACACAAAAATGGAACTTTTACCAGTGTTATTATTTAAGTTTACAGTTTATACACATATCAAGAACAATTAAAGAAAAAAATCTGCTTATTCTCCTTGACAGATGCACATTTCATTGAGAATTGAGGAAGAAGATGACCTCCATTGGGGAAAAGCAACAAACTACTAAAATGAACAGTACACACAATTTCCTATCAATTTACAAGAATCATTAACTTTGTATAAAGTGTATTTAAAAATAGCATAATCAAGTTATATTACCTTGAACGTCTGCGTTCAACATGTCTGTCTATTTCCTCAGCGCCTTCTTTCCCATCTTTCTTGATTTTTCTAGGTCGAGTTTTAATCTGTTGATCAATATTCTTCTGAACTGGAACTGGAATTCTTGGAAACAAGGTAGAAAACCACTCCAGTTTTGTAAGAAAAGACCGTAGCATTTCTCCAATGGTCATTACACAGCCTCCGCCAGCCTTCACATCTAGGTCCTACAGAAACACAAAAGATACCCTAGCCGTCAAAAAAGCATTCCAAATGTATACGTGAATACTATAAAAATTTTACCATCTTTGGAATCTCAAATATAAAAAAATTGTAACAGAAAAATTTCAATTTGTGTACCTTTCTAATCGGGTAATGAATGATACAGGGAAATACTTGGGCTTAGTGTGTGCATGCAGGTGAGAACAAACCCTGCAGCCTCATGGGCCTAAAGGGAACTGATCTCACTCAGTTAACAAGACTAAGAAAAAGCCCCTTATATTACTAAACAATGTGGAACAACTGGCTTAAAATTTATACTCCACATGCCTATTAAGTATGTATTCTTTATTTCTGTGGACATTTGCACACATCATACCTAGCACTATAACCTAGCTATACATGAACTACTTCAGACAATTCCTGTCTAAAGGTAATCTTTTAACAGGTCTAATATAAAATGAAGCCCTAATAAAACTGGAAGCAATAGCAAACCAACTGCCATGAAGCAGTGAGGTTTCTAATTTAGAGTTATGTAGAAAATAAATAAATGAACAAATAATTGGAAACGCATAATCCATGATGACCATTGTCTCTGAAAAGGGTCATTACCGCATGAAGGCCTTCTTGCTATGCCCTCTCACAGCTCAGGACATGTTAGTCAGCTATTGTCAGTCCCAAACCTATAGTGCAAGCACACAAGGAAAGTGAGATTTGTTATCTAAACAGGAAAACAAGAGCTAAAGGTAAAACTGCTTGCACTCACACACATTTAAGTGTTCAGATATACAGTATTTCCAAATATAATCGCTGAAGATATCTAAGGAAGAAAACAATAAGTTAGCTTAAATAGTGGACCTCAGGTTTGTAAACACAATAAAAAATAAATTAAATAGAAGCATTCAGAAACAAACCTAATATAACACCATTTATGAAAAGGGACATGCTTTTCAAAAGACAGGAGAAGAGCTTCGATCTGAAAATCTCACCAAAATAGAAATACAAACTTTAAAGACTGTGATTATCATCCAACACAAACACTTTTTGCTTCTTCTGTTATTAAACAACTTCGTAAACATGTCAAAAATGCAGAGAAAAATTAAAATTCTCCACATCTACGTGAATGAGATGTTTGTTTAGGTGAGTACTTAATAGCAAAAGCATGACAGAAAGATTTCTGCTATTGAATTCAACAAATTCTTTGGATGAATTTTTAAAGCTGTAACTGCTCAATCAAAGCACATAAACAATGGTTTATGACCCTTTAAACTAAAGTAGTGGTGGAGATAGATATATGGACAAAATATAGTTCATTATTCATTAATTACTTTTTGAGATCCTGAACTTCACTATGTAAGCAACTATGTATTATGATTTAAATCTGACACAGTAAAGTTCCAAAGTAACTTTCTTTTCTGAACATGTAACAAACTCAACCTTCTTAAATTTGATTTGGACAGCACACTAAATTTAGGATGTGAAAATCTCAAATCACTAATTTAAAGAGAAAATTTCCTTTAGCTTTATAACTATGTATAGTGCACCAGGAGTCAGAAAGCTGGAATTAAAATATTTGTTTTCTCACCTTTAACAAGTCATCTAAGCTCTCAGCCTATTTTAAGTCCCACCCAGCTCTCCAACAATTCTGTGCTTCTATGCAAGTGGGAATAGTGATATTTGGAAGAAGTTAGAGGGTAAAGAACTGAAAATTTCCAGAGAAAAAAAGCTATAATTAGTATTCTATGTGCATGTCTTTTATCACTTCGATCTTGAGCAGGGCCCACCTTAAAAAGTCACTATTAACTATACAAGTCAGGATCAACAAAATACAAAGAGCACAATTAGGAAACTTTGCAGTAGTCACCAAAACACATTTAAAAAATTTTAAAATAAGAAATTTAACCTAAGATATATAAAGTCTACCAAGTCTTAGTAAAAGGACATTAATTCCAAACATATTTGTCTGACATAAATTTAACTATCTAAAATTCTATACGACATTAAACTTTCAATAAATAAAAGCTATTAAAAATACGAGAGTAATCAGAAGAAAACTAATTATTACCCTTGCTGACATACCTCTTCATCATCAAGGAAAGATTCAAACCAGTCCCATAGATCTGTAGGGGGCTGTGTGTACCTGGAATTACAAAAGACTATTAATTTTTTATGTTTTAAAATGAAATGTTGACTGAAAATATAGGTAAATGCATGCTCACCTTATATACATAAATCCAAGGGCTCTAATATATGGAGAGTCTGTGTGTGTTATGAGACCCATCACTTGCTTACGAGTTAACTTCAGAGTAAATAATTTGTATAATAGGCAAAAAGCTGTAGAAACAATTCCTCCTGTTCCAACACCTCGAACCTTTAGGGGAAACAGAAATAGTAAAAAAGTTAAGAGAAAGTGAATACCAATTGATTAATCCTGTTAGGTATATAATAACAAGCCATAATCTTATAATTAAAACAAAAAATTAACACTTTCTAATCCTGTTCTCTGGACACACGAGTTTAGATTTTTTTAAATTCCATGATCTCCTAAATAACTGCCATTTGAGTGTAATTTACAACAGGTAAGACTTTCACTTTTCAAAATATAAAACTTAGTTGTCAAACATTTAAAAACTGAAAAATGCACGTACTTCTACTTACCCCTCCGCACATCCCAGTCTGGCCTGCTGTTTTCCTGCTTCCTTTCTCCCACGGTTCAACATGAGTGACCTGAAAATAGAAAAGATGACCACAACAAACATTCATACTTTGATTTTTTTTTTTAAATGTCTGATTTAAGTAAACTCAAGTCCATCATAAAGCAGCTCTTCCAAAAATTCTGAAGTTGGATTATTTAGGCATTATGTATTTAGTTCTGTTTACTCACATTAGCTATCTAAACGATCTTTGAAAAACTCTTTTAAAAAGGCACCAATAAAGCTATTATGATTTAACAAAACTTCACCAGCTTTACAGACAGAGATTCCATTAAAGCAGCTTTGTAGAAAGCTTGATACTTATACATGTGGGAGCAAGGAAATTTTTGAAAGGCTAGCAGTTAATTTACCTCTTAGTAAAAATATGAGAGAAAGAATGGTTTACTAATTCTATACAATTAAATTTACAGATACCATCACAACATGCTTTAAAGACCAAACTATGGAATCCTGAAACAAACATAAAACTGAAACAATTTTCTGTTACCATTTAACCTAATCTTTACATGCTGTTATGGATCAAAGACTACTTGAAGTAGCTATTACCATATATATCATACATTCAGTACCCCATATTACTCAAGCAAAGCTAAACAATATTTTCCAACTGCTACTAAGTATATCTAGCCTCATATACTTGTGGAAAAATGCTTGACCATATTTCAATTTTGTTTCTTTTCATGATTTGATTAAAAAGAAAAATTCTCATTTTGAAATGACTTAAGGTTCCAACTTAAAGCAACAAGTATTCTCAAAAACATCTTTAAAATACTTTTAATCAAGTTCATGATTTTAAAAAATCTACATTATAAAATAAAAATGCCTTGAAGAAAGCATGTTAAAACAGTACAGAATTACATGTGATGCAAATTTTTCAGTAAATTTTTATTTGTACATTTTTCTTGATGATCAGTTACGTTCATTCCTGATTAAAGATGAAATTACAGAGCCCACACCTTCAGAGATCATTCTTATTATTTTAATCAATTATGTGAACCAATCCAAAATTTTTCCAAAACATAAACTGAGTTGAGTGTGAATTATACTAAGTATAATCAACAATGATACAGTATCAATTTGCTAAAGTGGGCACCCTATAAAATCCACATACTTTATCTAAAAATAGCAAAGAGTGAGACTATTAGCTCTAAAACAGATACAAACTAAGAAGGTTTCTAGAAAGATAAGACCCATTTTTTTATTTCTGAACTTAAAAACAAAAGGAGAAAAAACACTTTCTATTTGTGCATTCATTTCTGAAACTCTATTTCTACCCACCCATGGTTACATTTTATAGTTATCTGCGGCTTTAGACTGAAAAACATGCATTTAAAATCTAAGCACCGTATTCTTTTGCTCTGCAGACTCCTGCATCATTGCTTTACTGTTTCCTTTCCTTTACCTACTTTGCTGTATAAGAGATATTTCAATTCTTTAAGTTAGGTTAACCAAAGTAAGGGGTGGATGCAACACAAATTCAGATAATTAGAAGCTCACATATTTCAAGGGTCATTTGTTCTAGATATCTTGTCAACAAAACCTGGGTCTTCAGTTTTATAAATGAATTGTAAGTAGTTTCAAAACACTTGAAACCAAGCCTTTCCTCTCTTGCATTAATGTATGTTTTAAACCAGCCTGCTGCAAAAAGAGTAGGGACCCAATTTTCAATTATTTAAAATTTATTAAGTAAATAAAGCTAATGGTTAAATATTATTCGCCATACTGAATGCATGCTGAAAAAGTCTTACCTTTCAAAAGCTAAAAGTAAAAAAAAACCCTAAACACTAGCTCATAGTGTTACAACTAGAGCTACCTTGGATTCTTGTAAGAAGATATCCAATTTATTTCAGTGTACTTTATAAACCCAAAGTTGAACTGTATTCCTCAATGTACAATTTCTATAAAAAGACTGTAATATTTCAATATTCAATAAATAAAAAGGTGATCAAAACATAACCTAAAAGCAAATAAAAAGAATTTCTAACACTATGTCCAGACCACAAAAAATGTGTGGTATGTCTGAAGTATTTAGAGTCAATATAGACAAAGAAAAATGTATTATACTAGATGTTCTAGCTAAAATATTTAAAGACCATTAAGAACATCATTAGTATTAAGATAAAAATTAACCGAAGGAGGCCTGGAAGGTATTTTTGAAACTACATAATTTGCACGGGAGTGGAGAAAGCCTACCTTAAGCTGGTGAGGAAAAGACCAAAACCAATGGCCCGGGAAAAAAAAAATCTAATAAGCCGTTCATTTAACCAGGGAAATGCATTTATGGCGATTGAGCATGATTAATAGTGCATACCTCTACCTGCGACCCTGGGCTGCTCCGAGCCTCGCTGCAAGACTGAGTCAATCCTGCTAACGAAACAAGAACTGAGACAAGAGTGCAGTGAGGCGGCGCCAGGTGAGCTCCCCAGCACAGCCAAGCCAGCACCGACCCTGCCGCAGAAGCCCAGGGCCCAGATAATTCTAAATTAGCCCAATGCACAGGTGGCTGATACATCTCACTCCTAACTTCCTGCTGGGAAAATTTCCAGGCCTTCTGTACACCACTCGCACTGGCACCTCTCCACCCTCAACCCTCCCAACCCATCCGAGACACGCACTGACCATTTCCCTGTCTGGATCGGATAGTGAGAACCAACAACACGAGGCCAACACTGAAGTCACCACACGCCCTGGCCTAGGGTGAGCGGGAGAAGCACCAACAAGTTGGCGCTGAGTAGATCCACGTCAAAAGGAATCATTTTAAAGCTGTAAACTGGAGAGACTTGTGTCACTTTTTTCCTCTCCCGCACCCCTCTTGCTCAGCTCCCCCTTACGAGTAGGCAGGACGTCGGGAGAGAAGATCAATTAACAGTGGCGGGCTCTCCCAGTCCTAAACCCTGAAAAAAGCGGGAGGGCGGCTCCACTACGACCTTCCCTAACAGACTATAGGCCGCGACTCCTCGTCAGTTCGACCTTTCCCACACCCACAAATCCTCAGATCTCGAGGGGTCGCCTCTGCCCGTTTCCTCCATCCTCCCCTTGTTGGAACTCACTCACTCCCGCCTCCTAAGGACCTAGACACTTCGTACCTTAAAGTAGATCTCGTCCACCACCTCGTGGTAGGTCTTGAGCTCGTAGAGCTGTACTTTGAAGTAAGGCGACGACAGGATGTTGGTCAAGATCATGGGGTTGAGGTTCATGGTCTTCTCGTTGCCCCACAGCGGCAGCACATTGCCTTGCTTGCCCGAGACCGCCGGCTTGGTGGTGCCGCCGCCGCCGCACTGTTGCTGTTGCTGGGCCGCGGCTGCGGCCGCCTGGTGCTGCGGGTGTGAGTTGCCTGTCAGCGCCGGGCTGTTGTTAGCCATGTTGCGGCGGAAGGAGGGAAGGAGAAGGGAGGGGGGAGGGGGCCAAGCTCGATCTCGCTCTTCGGGACAACGGTCCGGGACCTTACTCCATGGAAAGCCGTCAGGAGAGGGGGCCGCCTGGCTGTGGCCCAGTCGGGTGAAGGAGGCAACGGGAGCGCCGGCAAATGGACCCCAGACCGCGAGCAGACGCTGAAACGCAGGCCGCGAGAACTCCCGGCAGAAAGCGAGCCGGCGACCAGAGAGCGCGATCTCTTCCGCCAACTGCCCCTGGGAACAAGATGGCGGGCCCGACGGATGTGACGCCACAGGCCCCAGAGTTCCAAGCCGAGCCGACGGCCAATCAGAGACGTCTGGCTGGGCTGGAATTCCTCTTCCTAGTTATCCGGGCTCCGCGCGTTTTCCACATGCTAAAGATGTTGCTGTGGCTTCACCGGCTGACCTCTCTGGATAGTAGATCCGATTCGCCAATCGTCTGCTTCTGTATTTGAACTGGGGGCCGGTTTCCCCTCCTAAGAACAGGACAGGAAAAGGTTTGCATGGCCGCTGTGTGCTTGCGAATCCGTGGCTGACTCCTGCGGAGTATCCGAGAGTGTCTTCCCGGCTCACTGTTTTAAGATTCTCTGGAAGGATTACTGGCCGAGGACCCACTCCCCAATATGATTCCGGAGTGAGGGCTTCCTATTCTCCGAACTCTAGTGTGCGGTCGGTGACTCACACGGGATAAAATCTTGGGCTGTTTTGATCATTAAAAGAGCTACTATACCTAATGCTTAGTAGAATGCTCCTGTCACATTTTTCTTTCCTACTACTCAAGTTCCTTTAATTCTACACACGCATTGTAAGGAGTAAACTTTGGGCAAAGCACTGTGAATGGGTGGGGGAGGAGTGGAAGGAGAAGGGGAAGAGGTGTAAAAATGAGTCAGAATCAGTCTCAGCTGTCAAGAGCTTCTGATAAACAGATGGTTCATGGTGTGTTTGGGAATCAAACCCACCAGCCACTCCTCGGAAGGAAGGTTGGGCAATCCTACTTCCGTAGTGATAACTGCCTCGGAAACCCAAGGAGGGGTCGCTATGAGTCAGGGCCGACAAGGAGGGGTCGCTATGAGTCAGGGCCGACTCGACGGCACATAACAACAACAACAACAGGGGAGCTCTGGTAGCATAGCGCCTAAGGCACTTGACTGCTCACCAGAAGGCTGGCTGTTCAAACCCACCAGCCACTCCTCAGAAGGAAGGTTGGGCAATCCTACTTCTGTAGTGATACTGCCTCGGAAACCCAAGGAGGAGTCGCTATGAGTCGGGGCCGACTGGACAGCAAAACAACAACACAGGGGACATTAGGAGCCATGGTGGCGCAGTGGGTAAAGCACTCGGCTGTTAGCCCCAACGTCGGCGGTTGGCACCCACCATGTGGCAGTCTGCCTCCGGAAAAATTTGTAGCCTTGGAAACCCTATGAGGCAATTCTACTCTGCCTTATAGGTTATCTGTGAGACGGAATCGACTGGACGGCATTTGGGTGTGTTTCCTTGCGCCCCCCCCCCCCCCCAGAGGACATTGTGCTTTCTACTCGTGTAATCAATCATACTGCAATTTATCGGCAGAGAACAGCCTGAGCATATCTAGAAGCAGGGAAGGTCAGGCTTTATTAGAGGACAAATAGTCCACTTGACAGAAACCAGGAAATATGCTTATGAGAGAGTGATGGCTCAATAGGAATTCGGGCCATTGTGAAGTGCTGGAATGCCAAAATGAGTTATAAGGAAATTGATGACAATTAAATCCAAGGGTTGCATAATTACATCCAAGGACCCAAGTCCATTTTAACAGTGCTAATAGTGCTAATGGGAGCTCTGGTAGCATAGTGGCTAAGACACTTGCCTGCTAACCAGACGGCTGGCGGTTCAAACCCACCAGCCACTCCTCGGAAGGAAG